AGAACTCACTCATAATCTGTCACCACGAGAATGGAAGGGTTAAATTAGGTTATATTTGCACTCGTTTATCGATCTTTTTCTTTTCTCAATTCTTTTTTATCTTTTAAGCGGGAAAACTACTAGATGTACGCTAGCGAGTTTTGAGGTTTCCCGATACAAAATTATTGTGAAGAAAACTAATTTTGCATCGTTTTTGTTTTTTTGTCTTTTTTTTTTTTGTTTCAGTTACAGTTATCCAGATCTTAGCTACCTAGATCGGGTAAAGAAAGAACTTGCTGACAAGGGCATAACACCACTGCATGAATGAACTTTTACTTTATTTAGAGGGACAGCATGGAAAGACGGTCACATGCTTTCCGTTTTACTCAACTTAATATTGAGATATTATTAAAACTCGTACAGAACAATGTAAAGTATTATGTCACGGGTGTAGGGTAAGGAAAATAAATTAGGATTCGAACCTCATCCCTATCCGCTTTAGAAGTCGGGTACTCTACAAGCTAAGCAACAGAGAACTTGGCGGTGCACTACAATGGATTAGTTGTTGCAGAAACATTTTGGCTTTTTGTTTACACCATCGAAACTTGTATCAAGTTAGGGCTATAAAAAGAATTGCACCTGTCAGAAAGAAAGAGGATTAAAACAAGGAGAAAGAGTTTACGAATTATGTATTTATACAAATTTGTACTCGCTTTCGAAGGAGCTAGCCCCAAACTAACTCCGAAATTATATTCAGTAATGAACTTATAGTATGTAGCTGTTCACATGTTCTTAATCGTGATAGTAATTTCTAATTTGTGTCAGCTTACAGGGTTTTTGTACTGGTCATCTTTTTCAAAAGGGACTCAGTAAGTTGGCGCGTGTGATTTAAAACTCATAGTTTAATTGTCAATATGTGCGCCTCAGTTACAATAATAACTCCTTTGCCATTTCGTAAGTCAGTTAGTAAATTTAAAGACTCATCAACATAAAGAGCGAAAGCATGTATTTTTAAGTTCACTAAGCTTTTTCGCAGACGGTTTTTCTAGTTGGTCCATTGCCAATTTTAGTGAACGCGCAATGGTGGCGAAGCAAGTTTATCTGGATAGCGTTTATTTCTAACCAAAGTAGAGTGTGGTTTAAAATAAACTGAATTCAAGGTTGAGTTTGTACTTTGAGTCATTACACTGCTCAGAGTTCCTATATAAACATGTAGCAAGCAATCTATAGTGACTTTTTAGCTCATTTGTATTCGTTTTCTTTCTTGTGGTGTGCTATAGCAGAACTCTGAGTGAACCGTTATAAAACGGAACTCAAAACAGCACCATTCAAATTACAAAATAGAGTTTCAGTATAAAATCAGGCTCGATCCTTTTTCAAGTGAAGAAAGCATAGAGAACAATCGGGAAAAGTCAACTGCGGGTTGAATTCTATTGTATATCAAATCCAAATTATTTCAAGTAGTTTAATCCTTTGTGGTTTATCATGGATTCGCTAAATTGAAATGACAGCTTATATCTCGCAAGAAGAGTATTTTAACACACTGTCATGTTTTGGTCGATCGAAAGGAGTGCGCTTGGTGAATATCACTGGTACAGCTAGGAAAATCCAGTTTATGAAATGTTTCTCCCCACTTGCATTTGGTCCTTGCAGGAAAATTGATCGTAGGCAGAGCCTTGAGCCAATGATATTACAGAACAGCATTTCACGAACGAGACACATAGTTCGAGTCTTAAGGAACCTAAATCTGAAACACTACTACGCTTAGCCGAACTAGTGCTCACACTCAATTTTTTCCATTCGGGGACAACTTTTTCAAACAAACCAATGGTGTAGCCATGGGTACCAAAATGGGACCTAGCTATGCCAATCTTTTTGTAGGTTTTGTCGAACCGTGACCAATTTTTCAGCCAATACAACGGCTCCAAACCTGAACTCTACGGTCGCTACATCGACGACTGCATCAGCGTCACCTCCTCTACCAGAGAGGAGCTGACTCAATTTATAACCGCAGTCAATTCTTTTCACCCGGCTCTGAAATATACCTGGGAAATTTCTGACAATTCTTTATCCTTTTAAGACATCAAAGTTTCAATTGAAAGCAACGGTTTATGCACTAGTGTGTATTACAAACCTACAGACTCGCATAATTACTTGTTATATTCGTCTTCGCATCCATCTCACGTTAAGAATTCCATTCCTTTTTCTCAGTTTCTAAGACTTCGTCGTTTATGTAGT